AAAATTTAAATCTCTAAGGCAGGAGACACCCAAATCTTTGGGCTATCTGTCTTGGGAACTTTACAGCAAAAATAACTTAGTTGTTATTAAACTACATCTTCAATTTAACATTCGAATAAAGAGTAGAAGTTGTATCATTAAAGTGTGTACTATTACACCCCCCCTGCACACAAAGGCATCTCTCAGCTGTTTGTTTACAAAGGGAAATCATATGATCATCCAATTTGACAGAAGTAACTTCAGAGTAATATGTTTACAAATTTAAGACAGTAAAAATGACATGAAATATAGTAAACGAACATTTAACAATGTCATTTCAACCCATAAATTAAAGGGACATAAGATGGAAGAGTCTAAGACACCGAAACTATTCCTAATGCATGAAAGTGACAAATGGTCTTCAAAGTGTAACTCAATAAATAAAAATTAAAAAAAAAAACAATATGAAAATACACACTAGGAGAGAGGTGGCCCACACCTTTAATCTCATCCTCGGGAGGCAGAGGCAGGCATATCTCTGTGTGTTTGAGGCCCAGCTGGTCTAAAAGAGCTAATTCCAGGACAACTAGGGCTGTTAAACAGAGAAAGCCTGTCTGAATCCCTCCCCAAAATAAAGAAAAGAAAACATATTACACACTAAAATAATTCTGTAGTAGGATTTTATTTATAACCATGTTCTTATGAAAAAAATCAGTCTTTAAATACCAAATATCAATGCTTTTTATATTAACGGTTATTAACATATTTCTTTTTGTTGCTATGTTCTTTTTTTCTACAGATACATATAGGTTTTAATGTTTAAGTGCTTGTGTATTTTTATGAGTTATTCTACATAAGAATACATGACATACTATAATTCAAACTATTTCTAATTTGCAAAAATATGTATAAAAACAAAATTCCCACTAACAGTAGAATTGTTTTATATATTTTTGTACCATATTCATCCAGTAAATCATAGATGAAAGAACCTCAGTTATTTAAAAATCTCTAGAAATTTCAGTTAAAATAAAGACACCAGTCTACACACTGGTCTATAGAGCTGGCCTCAACTTTCAGGGGAGCCAGGTCTACAAAGAGAAACCCTGTCTCGAAAAACAAAATGCCAGGCAGTGGTGGTGTATACCTTTAGTCACAGCACTTGAGAGATATAGAGGGAGGTGGATGTCTGTGAGTTTGAGACTAGCCCTGTCTACAGAGTGAGTTTTAGGATAGTCAGGGCTGCATAGAAAAACCCTGTTTCAAGTAAATAAATAAACACACACATGATCTAGATATATGCAATTTTACTATGTTTTATATATTTCTGAACTATGTGAAATACACATATTTTGTAAAACCTCAAACTATATTTCTTCTAAAGCAAATTAAAATAAGTTTAAAAATTAGGACACAGTTCATCAAAAGTGGAAAACATAAGGAAAAGGAGTTTACTAGCAAGATGTTATAAACAATAAACACATTTTATAATCAGTCATTCTGATATAGGAAATAATATAGGATTTTATTTGCATTCTTTGCATGTATTCTTTATTTTTAAGTAAATGTGACTTATACGATAATAAAAAACCTTTTAAAATTAAAAACTGCCAAAAGGAAAAATAATGGAATTGTGTAAATGTTTCTTAAAAGTATGATCTATTTTAATTATTCAGCAAAATTTTTAAAATGTTATACAATGTAACTAAAATTTGTTTCATTCCTAGAAAAATATTGGGAATTTTTCAAACTTGCTATTATAAATGTCATCGTAGATAAGAGCAAGGGTTGGTATAATATTCTTTCCCTCTCAGGACTGGAGCAGTGAGGCAGGAGGATTGCTGCCTGTTTGACACCTGTCTGGACTACAGAGGGAGACGCTATCTCAAGACAACAAGCCAGCAAAGAAAACAGCTGCATGTATTTGAAGGCCTTTAAAATTTCATCATTTAAAAGGAAAGTGCCTGTTTCTCTTTAGATGTTTAATGAAAAAATAAAAATATCTGTATATTAACTGCAGGGATCTGATTAGAGTGGTTTGGGAATATTCTGATTCTTTCCATGTAAATGTTCTTTTTTCATATGTATTTATTTTATCCCAACCACAAATTCCCCTCCCTCCTCTACTTTCCTTCCCTCCATGGAATTTTTTTAATGTAGGGATTCATCATAATGTCTATAGAACTTCACAGCAACAAACAACCTCAACTTTTCTAATATGCTAGATATTGACAAACTGGCTAAGCAGAACAAAGCTCATGTCAAGTAAGCCTGGGATATGAATTTATTTCCTTGGACCCATGTAAAACTATAAGGAGAGAACTAGCTCTAAAAAATTCCTCCCTGACACCCAGAATGTGCATCATGGCATATATGACTTCCACCGTCATGTATAAACAAGTAAGCAAATAAATGAATATTTGAATTAATGAAAGCTGGGACAACGTTACTGGGAGGGTACATTCTGAAATCTCAAAAATATGATCTGATAAACAAGACCTGTCCAATATTGGCTGGGATAAATCCTACGTGATGCTATTCCTGCATGAAATAAGGATTTGAGAAGGGGAAAATCAGTTTCCATTTGAATGATCTCCATAATGGACTATCCAGTCACAGGTAATCAACTGTAAACACAAACAAACAGCCAAAATGGATTTACCACACCGTCTCCATATAAACATACATATGAACATATCTTGTGTGTTGGTGTGTGTGTGTAACAATGATAATTAAAGATGAGATCAGGAGCTTGAAAGAGAGTTAGGGAGACATGAGAGGAGTTGGAGAATGGAGAAGGTGAGAATGATGTAAGTAAAGTATCTATAAAATTCTCAAATAAAAAGAAAAGGAAAAAAATCAACTCTGTAATTATCTATGAACTTGTATTATCTTCAGTCTGGATTTTCATGAATTTGTCCTATCAAATGGGGAGTAAAATTGTAATTTGAATAATACATTTCCACAGTGATTATATAACTAGGTGCCATGGTAACATAATAATATAGTAGTAGCCTTATTTGCTGTATGTCAATTTAGGTTTTCTAAGAAAAACTACCAAAATATTACTAAACACAAAAGGATTTTACTTGGTTAAATTCCACATAGTAAATTATGAGAAAGGAGTTAATTAAGACTGAAACCATTAGGACAGAAGAGGAAAGTCAGTTGTGGAAGCTCCTCTTCAGTCCTACTGTGTAAGGAACATTTGGGCAAACCCTCAGGGAGTCCTTGAGACGAAAGCCAGGAAACAATAGGTATACTTTTTGCCAAATAATGTGTTTGCTTCTGAATTCTTGCTTCATCCGGCGAAGACTGCTATGAGGCCAAAAAGCCAGACGTCAGTAGACTCAGTCAGTAATAGCCTATCTAGTTGGGAGTTTGTTGGTTAAAAATAAACATGTTTGCTGGACCTAGCTCCTTGGAACCTATTCCCCATGCTGGGATGTCTTTCCCAGCCTTGATATAAAGGAAGGCGCTTTTTTCACTGCAACTTTATATACCATGTTTTATTGACACCCATGGGGAGCCTGCCCCTTTCTGAACAGAAACAGAAGAGGCGTGGATGGTGAGGGTGGAGAGGAGCAAGGGTAGGAGGAAACTGGTGGAGAAGAAGGAACTTGTAGAGAGGAGAGTGGAGATCTGCAATTCAGATGTAAAATAAATGAAAAAATTCATTTTAAAAAAGAGAAAAAATGAGACACTTCATTCTTTTTATTGAGACTGCAGTTAAAAATATCTAGCATAGCGGGGAGGAGGCGGAAATCTTTTTTTTTTTTCAATAAAAAATTATATTAAAAATATCTAGCATTTTAAAACAACATTTACTTCAGAACTTTGTTACAATAGGAGTGGGCTCTTTGTTTGTCCCTCTTGCCCTGCTAGCTTATACATGAAATAACCACACAGAAACTGTATTCTGTTGAAATAGGAGCGGCGGGGCTGCGTCCCCGGCACCCAGCCGCCCGCATGGCTAGCTTATGCCCGAAATAATTACACAGAAACTGTATTCTATTAAACACTGCCTGGCCCGGCTAGTTCCTGCTTCTTATTGGCTAGCTCTTACATATTGTTCTAACCCATTTCTAATATTCTGTGTAGCCCATGAGCTGGCTTACCAGGGAGGATCTTAACCTCCCTGGTCTGGAGTGGGAGAATCATGGCGACTCCTTGACTAAGCTTCTTTTTCCCAGCATTCTGTTCTGTGTACTCCACCCACCTAAGGGTTGGCCTATCAAGGGGCCTAGGTAGTTTCTTTATTATTAACCAATGAAAGCAACAGATAAGATACAAGACCCACCTCCATCAGTATTCATTAAAACATTGTTTGGCCATTAGCTCTAACTTCTTATTGGCTAACTCTTACATCTTAATTTAACCCATTTCTATTCATCTGTGTATTACCACATAATTGTGGCTTACTGGAAAAATTCTAACCAGTGTCTATCTCAGGCAGGAGTTCTGAGGCATCTCTCACTCTTCCCTTCTTCCTAGCATCCAGTTCTGTCTTCTCTGCCTACCAGGCCAACCAGTTTCTTTACTGATTAACCAATGAAAGCAACACATAAACAGAAGGACCTCCGACACCAGAACTTCTTTAGTATTACTTTCTTATGCCCTTGAATGGTATATCAATCATCTCAAAGAATAGATTAGATTTCAACTATTTATCAGCCTTGGGACCTAGAAATGTCTGTCTGAAGAGAAGAGGCATATTTCTGCATGGCAAACTTCACATAGAATGAAGCTGATTCTGCCACCGCTGTCTACTTTGCAGTAGGAGCTGAACTTTGGAAAGTACCTAGTTGAAAACACAAATGTGTTTTCAGCTATCGGACTTACAATCTTATGTGAAGAGACACCCCAAACAAAGCAATTTCAAAAAGAAGTATTTATTGTATGCTTGCTTAGAGAATGAGTCATGAACATCATGGTGGGGAGTTTGGGTAGGTAGGCAGGCATGGCACTAGGGCAGCAGAAAAGATATGGTTTTTCAGTCGTAGTCCAGCTGGCCTTGGTGAGCTCACAATAGATCAGCCCCACTGTCTCCATGGGTGGATGCACCCCTCGTGGTCCTGACTTCTTTGCTCATATTTTCCCTCCTTCTGCTCCTCCTTGGGACATTGGGAGCTCAGTCCAGTGCTCCAGTGTGGGTCTCTGTCTCTATCTCCATCCATCTCCAGATGAAGGTTCTATGGTGATATGCAAGATATTAATCAGTATGGCTATAGGATAGGGTCATTTCAGGTTCTCTGTCCTCAGCTGCCCCAGGAACTAACTGGGGAGATCGCCCTGGGCACCTGGGAGCACCAAATCTCTTGCCAACCCTAAGATGGCTCCCTTAATTAAGATGTGTGCTTCCCTGCTCCCCTATCCGACCTTCCTTTAAGGGGAGATGGGGAGAGAAAAGTGAGAAGGGGAGGTTGGGGGGAACTTGGGAAACGGGATGTTTGGGATAAAGGAAGATCTTGAAGAAATTTTAAAAAGAATTTTCATGAAGCAATTGACAGAATGCTTGGTAAAGGTGTTACAGCATTCCTATGTACCATTTTATTTTAAATATATCTGGGATAGGCAGTTCTACTCTTGAAAATATACCCAAGAGATGACCAATCATACTACAAAAGCATTTGTTCAATTATGTTCATAGCAGCACGACTTGTAATAGCCAGAACCTGGAAACAACCTAGGTGCCCCTCAGTAGAAGAATGGATAAAGAAGGTGTGGCACATATACACTTTAGAGTTCTATTCAGCAGTAAAAAAAACAAGGACATCTTGAATTTTGCATTCAAATAGATGGACATAGAAAACACTAAGTGAGATAACCCAGACCTAAAAAGAGGAATACGGTATGTACTTACTCATAAGTGGATTCTAGCCATAAATAAAGGACATTGAGCCTATAGTTTGTGATCCTAGAGAAGCTAAATAAGAATGTGAACACAAAGAAAAACACATATTTATCCTCCTGGATATTGGAAGTAAACAAGATCACGAAGCAAAAGTTGGGAGAAGGGGGGTGGGGGCTGGGTGGGGGATAGGGGAGATTGGGAGAGAGAAGGGAGAAGGGGAGGATTGAGGAGAGCTTGGGGGAATGGGATGGTTGAGATGGAGGAAGGGTGGATTTGGGAGCAGGGAAGAAGATATCTTAACTAAGGGAGTCATTTTAGGGTTGGCAGGAGACTTGGCTCTAGAGGGGTTCCATGTGTTCAAGGAGATTTCCCCAGCTAGGTCCTTGGGCAGCAGAGGAGCGGGTACTTGAACTGGTTTTCTCCCATAACCACACTGATGAATATCTTGCATATCACCACGGAAACTTCATCTGGCGATGGATGGAGATAGAGACAGAGACCCACATTGGAGCACTGGACTGAGCTCCCAAAGCCCAGACGAAGAGCAGAAGGAAGGAGAACATGAGCAAGGAAGTCAGGACAGTGAGGGGTGGGTCCACCTACTGAGACAGTGGGACTGATCTAATGGGAGCTCACCAAGGCCAACTGGACTGGGACTGAAGGAGCATGTGATCAAACTGGACTCTCTGAATGTGGCTGACAATGAGGGCTGACTGAGAAGCCAATGATAATGACACCGGATTTTGATTCTACTGCATATACTGGCTTTTTGGGCGCCTAGTCTGTTTGGATTCACACCTTCCTAGACCTAGATGGAGGGGGCGGGGCTTGGACTTCCCACAGGGCAGGACACCCTGACTTCTCTTAGGACTGGAGAGCGAGAGGTACAGGGAGTGGGGGAAATGGGAGGGAAATGGGAGGATGGCAGTAGTTGGAAATTCTTAATAAATAAATAAATAATAATTAAAAAATATATTTGGGATTATCAAATAGATAAGAGTTGGGAAAACAATGCTGTTATAAATTATCAATGTTTGCACTTAATTTTAATAAAACAAAGAGAAAATTATAAATTACCAAATTATAAAAAGCTTTAGCTTTGCCCATTTTTATATTATCCTTTTTTTTTTTTTTTGAGACATGGTTTCTCTGTAGCTTTAGACCCTATCCTAGAACTAGGTCTTGTAGACCAGGCTAGCCTCGAAGTGACAGAGATCTACCCACGTCTGTCTCCCAAGTGCTGGGATTAAAGGTGTGTTCCACCACTGTCCGGCATTTTATTTCTTAATGTAAAAGATTGTTTTATATGTTGAGCTGACTTCACCCTGCTGGGGCCTCGGTCAACTTTGTAGAAATTCTGGTTCTCTGCTGTATGCCTAGGAGCTCAGTAAGTACATCACTCATTTGTAGCCTGACCATTGTGCCAAGAAAATCCATTTGATATACTACTTTCAGGCTACACAATCAGCACATACATATTGGAAACAGAGGCACTTGAACACATATTCACAATGGAAAATTCTTTATTCAAATTTCTTAAATCATTTTGCAAAGACCAAATCTGGCCCTTGAATTCTCTACACACAGACTAAGTCGTATGCCATTATCTGTTATGTCTTTCCTGCTGTGTTTGTCCCTGGCGGCACATTTACCTACTCTGCATTCTGTCTTGGTTACTTTCTTTGACCTTTTCTTGCTTTCATTTCACTCTTTTTGACTTACAAATCCCTTTCAATCTATAGCAAATGCAATGGATAAATAGCACAATTTTAACTTCTTACCTCCTTATCTTAAATATACTCTTTCTGCAAACTACTGGTAGTATTTATAGCAGTGGTTCAATATTCTGCTTTTCATAAGAGATACCAGTCAATTTTTTTCAGAAATTATAAATCTTCTCCCATTTTAAACAAGGAAAAGATACTTTGGATTTTAATAAATCTAACAAATTTCGGTGACAAAAATATGCACAGATTTCTAAGGTAGTAAAATCCCATTTATTTAAAATTGAAATGAGAGAGTACAGTGTTAATTATTCATATTTCTGAAGACAATTGAAACAATCAATGTTTTGTATTATGTAGTTAATTTTTATTTAAAAGGCTGTCTGCAAACCTACTATATATATCCTTTGACCGATCATAGATCTACTATTCACTGAAATAATGATTCCTTTACACAAATATCTGTCTGAAAAGATATTAATGAAGGGGGCCTTGAAAACAAAATGTAATAGCAGTAAAAATGGCTACCTAGCAGAGAATTATGTGTATCAACAAATCTATGTGCCAGTTGCTCAAGGAAGATCATGCTGAATAGAGGTAGCTAACCTACTGATATTTGTTCACTGAGAGATGGTTGAAATATGTGGTTGTGGATACATGGCAGCCATCTTCTCTGCTTCTCTTCAGGATGTATGATTTTATGGAGATATATTGCTTGTATTTCTTTATGTGGAAAAATAGGATACCCTGTAATGTGACTTTGTTTTGTATCAAGGCTTTAATCCAATTCTTCTAGGTTTCCCAGTCTTCAGAGCTTGCAACATTAAGATTTTAAAATACATTTGGTATTTTCCACTTTTCATTTGGGAAAACATCTATTGGTATCAGAATCCTCTTTCTATAATGAACACACTGCATATCAGTAGTTGAAGTTCCCATCTCTTCTTGTAGAGTAAAGCCAGCATGTAGCACAAATTCTAATTGATCTTAACAGTAATAACTTGGAGTAAACTGTCAGAGGGTAAAAGCTGAAGAATAAGAGAAGCAGAGCAGCCAGCCACATGAGAATTCATCCAATGTTCAGACCAATGGAAGAATCTTGTCCTTAGACTGCATCCTCAGACTGTGTCCTCAGACAGATTGCCTCAGACTGCACTGCACCTCAGACTGCACTGAGTTTCTGTCTTTTCTTGCCTTATATTCCTCTCTCTACCCAACCATTCCACTTCTGTCTCCACTTCCCTAGTCCTGGGATTGAAGGTGTGTGATTCCAAATGCTGTGATCACCTTTGTGTGTGCTCTGTTTCTCTTTCAGACTGGATCAATTTCACATAGCCCAGGATGGTTTTGAACTAACAGAGACACGTCTGTACCCTGAGTTATGAGATAAAAAGGTGTGTGTCATAATTGCCTGGCCTCGAGTGGCTGAGCTCTGCTCTCTGATCTTCAAGCAAGCTATATTTGTTAAAACACAAACAAATTTCACTACACCAGTTGGAAACCAACTGGCACTGTTTTTTAATCCTGTTTCTTCTGTCACAAGCAGACATCCTAAATGTATAATCTCTAATAGCTTCTCTACTAGGTTTCCATATGATTACTGTTTTATTATGATGATGATGATAAGGATGAAGATGATGATTAATATCCTAGTTCAGTCTTTAGACAGAAACAAGTGGCAATATTAAAGCAATATACCCCAAAGATACCATCTCAACATCCTTGCTGGATATCCACTTAACATAAACTGTCTGAACGGTATTTTGTTGGCAATTACTTAACACAAGATACATACACTATCTTCTTATTGTTGTAGTTGTTTTATACCTCTAAATCATGTGAAACTTCCATTTCACTTTTAGGTCCCTTTTGTTTTAGAAGACTGTGAAAACAACTTGAAAATAAGGAAATAATTTCATAAGCAGAAACACGTCTACTAGCTGCCAAGGCACAAGGCCTCTTTACAGTCTATTCAATCTTCAGTATGTTTGTATTTACTTAGCACCAAACTGAGGGTAAACTTCACTCCAGGTGACCTTGAAGAAAAAGAGGCATCATAAATATACACAAAACTAATGAAGATTCACTTGTTTATATTCCAGAATTGAATAAAAAAAATCTTACATTCACAATAAGGGTTGCTTTTATAACAGTGTGTTCTATCTGGTTTCTCTGACTCAGTGTCTCCTGTAATATTAACACACCATTGTGATTAAGTCTGACTTCCTGCTGTGAACCATGGAAAAGAACACAGAAGGATTTCACTACAGGCAAATGCAAACACCGAGATTTTAATGACTGTTAACTAAATTTGAACTTAAAAAATACACAGCACTTAATAGAGGCTTAATTACTGTCAGATGCACTGTTTAAAAAGAAGACAATTTATATCTATATATGTTATGAAAATATATTTTCTCTTGAAGGGAAATTTTATTTGTCTTTTAAAGTATGGGAACTGTCACGCAAACAGGTACCACTCTGTTTAATTATTGACTGCTTTCCTTTAGATATGAGTATTCACCATGATGAGATAAATTTAGACCCTCATCCTACAAAAACATATCATGAAGATATCCTCTTCTCTTTCACACACTCCTGTATGTAAAGCTTA